TTTTCAATAGGATTGTATTGATTTTCTTCCATGCTATGATAGCCCAAGGTATCCTCTTCAAAATGAGAGTCAAGTGAGACCTTGGTTTTCCGCGACTCGGGTGTTGTGTCGGATTTCTGTCGGAAAAGCGAGTATTACGAAAATTTGGGTTTACAGGCTGTTTTCACCTATTAAAAACTTCACTATTCACTCAATAAACATCAGAAAGAGTTCTGACCTTTAGGATATAGAGTATCTAAGCTATTCTAAATCCTATTCATAGGAGATCTTAAAAGAAAGTTTACAAAACCCTCAGGTTTTCCAAAAGGGTTTCTGGAAAACCCATTAACGCAAATATGCTTTTTCGATTTTTTCGGTCTTATAACCACATTTAGCGGAGAAAATTGAGCATATCCTGAAGGTCGAGACACAAAACAAGTAAAAAGCAGTAGATACTAATAATTCATATCCTATTAACAGAATGTTGCATAGAGCTGGAAGATGTCTTATTTTAGAGAGAATGATTTCTGTCTTTTTCCACTATTTAAAGCTGTCTATGAGTGTTTACTTTTCTAAGTGTTTTTTGGAAAACTGAATTTTCAAAGAGGACATTTAACGATTTTTGCACAAAGTTTCGACAATATTTTATGCTAGAGCTAGTCGTAGCCTACACGTTGGGAAATTTCTGTATCTCAATCTACTTCTCACATGGTGAAAGCTGACTCCCAGTTTTTGATCGTAAAATCTGCTGTTTATCTGACGTGAGTAAAACAGAAAAAAAATTTTTTTTCGGTAATAAATAAAATTTGTTCAATCACATATGGTTGCAAATATGTCAGGTAAGGATGACACGTGCTTAACATTAGCATCCACTATATTATTAATATATTGTGACGGAAGGTATATTATAACACTGACCATCGCAAGAAAAACGAAAGAAAGATAAGGTGACATTCAGATACGTTTTGTTTGCATAAAATCCACTTTGCCAAAAGATTGTTAACTTATCTTTACGGCTGAGGAACATGAAGCATGTTGCTTTTAATAATCTATATTTTCTAATAATGATTTAGTAATAATACAGAGGATTTGTTTGCTTCCATCTGCGATATTCCACTTGACGAGTTCACAGGAGAAGTGACACAGGCATTGGTTAAGTTTTATTATAAATATAAACATCTCGGCTACGCACAACCAGCACGGGCTCGAGTATCAAACCTCGGGCCAATGGCTGAATCTTCTTTTTTATGTGACTTTGTCGGTGCATTAAAATTAAACTTCTGGCCAAGTGATGTTGTACCGTTTTTAAACCGTTTAAGAGATGCTAAGCCAAAATTGTCTGAAGGAATAAAACGAATGTATATGCATATTGTATCAAAACCACCTGAAACATCTTCTGAAGGATCTAAAAGACAACCACATTATTTTCGTTATTCATTCTCATTTATTGAACAATATATCGCTTAACATCGCCATATTAACGAACAAATTCTGAATGGAGTGACTAGAAGTATTTATTATAAATATTTACGAAGTAAACAATTTGCGAAAGATCCGAAAGAAATATTAAGATCTTATTTTGTTAAAATAACTGTGTTATGGATATGTGAATATTACAATATCAAGAAAATCTGTGGTGATACAAATGAAGGTAAAGCTGAACGTTTAGCCAATATATGGATTAAATTTATTTGTGATATATTAGATAAACGTTATCTGAAGCATTATTTCCTCGACACTGTAAATATGCTCGAATCTTATAGCAGCACATTTTTGGACAAAGTTAAGAGAATTTTAGAAAAGGTTGATTTACATGATCGATCAAGAATGGGCTTTACGCATGCACTTGATGCATGGGCATGTAATGTAACTGAAGAGCAGAATGCTTACCAATACTTTCTAAGTAAACTGCGGACGAACGATCTTATCAAGGCTGTTGATGACTTCAAAAAGTTGAAAAATCAGTATTTTGTGTCTAATAACCCGCTACCATTCGTCGATCCCTATGTACAAGAATCCATTATACCACTTCTAACATGTCTACTGATCTTTGATAACATGGTGTTATTGGACGGTACTACGAATAACTGGCGGAAATGGCAACGCTTATTTATTACTAACTGTAACCCACACAATCACTATGAAACCTTTAAAAGTGACACAACGCAAAAATTTATCTTCTATGAATTTTCCCTGCGCTTATTCCAGTCCGCAATAACGTTAGCATGGCGTGCTAGAGTAGTTTTCGATCAAAAATTCATCGATCAACTTGAAGCGGAAATGCGTACGTAGTAGAAGCACCCGTCGTACACGAGGAGCAGAACGGCGTGATCACTTTCGCATAAGCTGGGTTCAACGCTTCTTCGTAACGCATTCATATGGTTTTTTCCAATGCCCACTAAAAGAACTCAGATCAATAATCGAGCACCGCTCGATTCTAGAAAACCATCCGGACAGACCAAATTGTTTAGATATAGAACACAAAGTTTTTCAAAACGCCCTAAAAGCCACAGTTATAGTATTAGCGGCTTTTACCGTACCCCATGAAGCACCCGAGAAAGAATCGGAAGGTTCCCTCAGATCAACACCGGCGCTAGAAATATTATCGGACTTCCGAAAAGCATACTATAAATTAAAAGAGCAACCAAAAGATCAGAGTCTTCTATCGCAGTATCACAGTATTGTTTTTATGTATCGTCTATTTTCAGTACGAACATAAAGTAAGCGATTATCGCTAATAACGTTTAAGTATATTCGATGACAAAATCAGTACAAAACTTCCGGCGATCTAAGTAGAAAAACATTTTATCGATCCTGCGCTGCTATTATAATATATAAATGCAAAAAAGTACCAAATTTTGTTCCGTTGAAGTAAGGCATAAGAAAGACGATAAAACTTATTACATGTTGTGTCAAATTGAACAATTTTTGAGTTTAAAACAGAAGTAGAAAATAGTACAGAAAAGGACCGAAGCAAAGAAAAGCTTAATCAATAAACAAAGGCCACTTGTTGTAGGACATCGTATCTTGTAGCCGCACAAAACTCTTAACGTGCGTCATAAAATATAAATTCCAACCTCAAAATGCTATCGGTAAACAAAGAATAAAGCTGAGACTCAGGACTACCGAATGGTAACAAGAAAATTTTTCTCCCTTTTTACCTTCATAAGATAATGACGTTACAAGTTTTTTGTTCTCCATCGTACCAGCACTTTTTCCACTAACTGTATGTATGTTTAATACAATGAAAAGAACCGTAGTGACAAAATATAAAACAAATTGAATTTTATGTTTATAACCGAAAACGAAAATTTGTTCTATTCTGCCGATAAGTCAAATTTTTCTGTTTTTGCAAAATAAGAGAGAAGAGGACAATTTTCATCTATATTTATGCGTAGAGAAATATATGCTTCAGGTAAAAAGCTCATATTTTGATGACTAAAGATTTTTTTCGTTTTCTAACCTACTCGTTCGACTTTCCACATAAAACTACATTGATGCTACAGTTTTCAAACGCTGAAAACGTTTCTTTATCGAGATATGAATTTTTTTACGAGAAGCATAAAACTAAGGTCGACTATGTAAACAATTAAAGAAAACGAACTGTATGATCAGTTTTGTTAATGACTATATGACATAAACGCTTCCTATTTTAAGCGAATGAACTTCAATCAATTTACAACATTTTAGTAAAATTCCAAGTCTTAGCCGTAGTTTTTGTTTTGGTAAAATATTAATCATTCGTTTATATGTGGCGTGTATGATCAATTTTGTTGTTCACTATACATAAGTATATCAAACCAAATGTTTTTTCTAATTTTTTAAGAACTCTATATCTTAAACACAAAAAGCAACAACATGGCATCCAATAACTTTAAACAAAAACCTGCAACGAAACGTAAGTCACTTTAATGTAACTTAGCCGAAATATTGTTAAGCCTGTACGCTTTCTGGCGAAGAAAGCTTTAAAATCTTATACGTTGTCGATATTCCTATGAATTTTGTCTTAAAAAATTTTCCAAAGATTTCGAATCTTCTTAGAGTATTTAGGTTGTAGATAGAACTTGTCCTATCTTGTGATTTTTCTATATAATGCAGTACTGAGTTCTAAGAGGGAACGATAGCATACAGTTCAAAAATAATGGCAAAAATGCATTATGTTATTTCTTCATGTTTCAAGAGATGCTAATGAATTAATTCTTTTTTCGTTAAAAAGAGCAAACTCTAAACTTCAAAGAACAAAACTTTTTGTGATGGAATTTGGGTGAGAGAAAATTTTAAATACCAAACATCGTAAAACTCTTGCAGTTTTCTCCCTCTTATCACTTTTCTCATTCGTTTCTATCATCATCAAACATAGTTTTTCCGATTTAGTCTCGATTCGTCCCTAATTATTCACACCCACTTTTGATGTTGTTTGATCTTACAAAGTCAATTAGGGACGAATCGAGAGGACACCTCCTTATTATAGAATGTGATTAAAATTACGCAGTTATAGAAACTGTATCGAAGCGTTTTTATCGCTCTATGAAATAGATCATGTGACCTATACTAGTTTTAATCCATAAGTTAATAACAATATCCTGAGTGTAAAATAATGAAATTTCCTTGATATTCTGTCTTTGCGATGCGAAGTAGTGCTTTCTACAAAACTGAGCTTTTTTATGCGTCACAGACGAAAGTTTTTATATAGTTGAAAAGAGAACATTCTTTAAAAAAATGCGTTCTAAAATAATACATTTCGAAACTGTCTTAAAATAAAACCGATATATTCAACTAGTCGTGAACAGATCGACATTTTCCTGTAGAAAGAATTTATTGGTTTGAATGCCTTTTGAACACAATTTTCTGATAAAAAAGATTAAAATTTGTTTTCTGCATGTAGTTCGTCTTCAGTTACAACAAATTAATAAACTAATTTGTCCAGATACAAGATTCATGGATACTGAAGAAAGTGCTGAGTCGAAATCATCAATAATATCAACTTATGAGTATGTAGCATATAGCGACTGTTTTACACTATAAAATAACGGTGATTTTTATAAAAATAAAAATTTA